ACTCCAGAGCCCGCCTCTTTTCCTCCTTTTGTTTCTGCGCTTTCCAGGCCTCATGAGCCTCCGCGGCATCCTCCCTAGCCTTCTCCGCGGCGTCCCTGCTCGTCATAAAAGGCTTCCAGGTCTTCAGGCCGAATATCTTCGGGCGTCGGGGCAGGCTCGTACGGTTCGGGCGTCACGGAAACACGGTACTCGATGGTTGACGACATGACGAACGACGAGGACGAAATTCAGAAAATAGAGGAGATGGTGGTGGTAGAAAGCTAAGAGGTGAAAAGCCACGTGACCAACCTGAAAAAATTCCACGCGGTCACACCCAGCCATCAGGATCTGCGTCCTTGAGGGCAAGAACGCTAAGGGGGGGATACTGTAACGAGCATGCCGACGGAAACCCGACTTCCACTCAATCCAACAAACCACAGCCCGGAATCCTACGGATTCCGATTCCCAGTTTCTATTTCATATTCCATTTCATATTCCTTTTATATTTCACTTCTCCATTACAATTTATCAATAGCCCGACATCGGTAGCGAACATGTCATCGGACCCCATCGGCTACCGACTGGTAGAATACATCCTCCGACAACCCTAGAATGTAGACCACTCCGAGTAGGAACTAGATCGGACTCCTAACTAGTATATAAGCCTTAGAATTACACTGTAGATACTCAGTTCGAATATCAACTTGGTTCAGCCCAATCTCTCTCTCTCTGACTCTAAGTCTAAACTCTCGTTCTCCAGTCCGCGGAACTCCGATCCGTTGGACTTATCTCTTACCTCGTCTCTGCCACTCCGCGGACTTCCGTCCGTATCCATCTTAGGGCTTCGGCTCAGGGGTGACGTTGCTAATAGCTTCGCCTACGCCCGACGCATCCCGCGGCATTCCGCTACGTGCACTTACTGCCGCAATCCTATTGGCACGATCTTAACAGATCCCGACACCCCATGTGTCACCGACATCGAAACGGTATATTCCTCCGAGTGTACGAACCCGAAACACTCCGACGCCCAACAAGACTCTTATCCCTCTTCCGAAATCATTGACAATATTGCCCTTCCCGACGACTGCCCTGATGAGGAGGAAGAAGTGAATCTCCAAAACCTCGAACGTATACGGGAGAATTGGGACACCGAGACCGATGAAGATGAAGACACAGACGATGATACCTGGTCTTTCTATTCAGGGTCCCGACAATCCACCTCAAGCGGCGGAGAGAACTCAGACAACTCATTCGGGACGAACGAGTCTTAGGGAGGGGGTAATGTTACGGTTTATTCATTTTCTTTTCTTTTCTTCGTTTTACTCAGCACGATTATGTATATGCAATCGCAACGGACGCATTCCCACAGTACTATTTTTAGTTTACCAACATGTATTTAAGTAGAGCCTCAGCTGGCTTAAACCCCAGCTTCGGCTAAGGTTTAATCTACCTAACATCGAACTCCGTCCTTCATGACTATCTGTCCCATCGACTTTCGTCGCCTTTGACTTGTTAGAGTATCTCCTACTGAAGTGCGAGTAGGGATCCTAACACGATCTAAGTCGATTAGAGTTTTTTTTTTTTTTTTTTTTTTAAATCCTAAGTATATTGGTTACGCATGCGTATGGTCCAATTTAGCTACTTGTGTTACTGTGTGTATGATGTCATCGATTAAGTCAGCTTAACAAGCTGTGCACTTATGTTATGGCACGAAATTATCCCTCGCCCTCGATAACTTGGTGCGACTCGGGCACTGCCACCTTTTCCCACTTTGGGAAATCCTGACCTCTGCCGAGAAATGGCCGCAATCTATCCGTCACCGTCGTTTCTTCACCAGACCCTTCTCATGGCCTAGTCCTACTTCCCACCAAACTCCATCAATCCCAGTCCTTCTCCGGTCTCTCTTTCCCAGACCTGCCTTACTCGGCCAAGATCACCAACACAGTGTGATCAATTGATGCGGGGGCGATGTGCCGGGCCGGGGTGTGCTTGGATCACCACTCCATTTTGTTACACCTGGGTCCCAACCAGGCGGCAGCCTTGCGGCACGCGACTCCGTTTCCCTGTCTTATTCGAAAGATCACTGGAAGGGCCTCGAACCGATGCCCAGAATGGCAAGGAGAGATAAGATTTGTCGTGTGATTTTAGAGGGGGTAATGTGCGTGACTTGATCATGTTTTAGAAAGGGAGGCTGCGTTTCACGTGATTTGGATATCGGAAGTGGTAGAACCCGGAAAGTGTCTAGAGTGTTACTTTCTGGGGGGTGGGGGGCTCGAACTCGCGAGTGCGAAAATAAATATTTTCTGTGTGGAACGAGGTACAATCGAGCAAGCAGAGGTAACCACTACACCATCTGCCCCCGTCGATTAGAGTTAGTGGCTAACAACTTGGCTAAAATCAGGGTTTATTTTAGGCACCTCCCATCCGCATAGCATAGCGTAATGGTATCCTTCCTGGTCATGCTTCCGCTTCGACGTTCTCCTCAACTAATTGTGGGCTAGATATCAATTTCTTCTGCTGAGAAAGCCGTTTTTCGCTAGCTACATGGATGGTGACTGAACTCGAATAAAGAAAAATGCTCCCTGCTGGATAGGCATGCATCACAAGACTACGGTTTAAACAGGTACCGTACCTTGGATCTGTAATTATTGCATTATGGGTGGTTTACAAAGAAACATTGCAATTCATCCTTTGTGTAAAGATTGTTCGAATCCTACATTGCAGGGCCTACTTACCATGCAGAATGCGAAGGAGGATTCGTTGTTGTCTGATCTTGTTCAAGGCTTGTGTGAGACGAATATGGTCCCACGAGGGACAGAATAAGGTGAGTGGTTAGAAACCCCCTCGAAAAAACCTCGGAATTGTTCACTATCATGGGATGCGTTGTATTTTCATGCCCGAATTCATGGGAACTTCTAGAGACATATATTTACCTTTGGAAATAAGCTCGTAGTCTATCAATTTTAGAACGTCGTATTACTATGTCGCACCATTCCCTTGCCATTCCCATGAGTCAGGCATCAGGGACCTTTCCTCTTAACCAGGATCACTGCACCTGCTGCTTCTATACATTGCAACCAAGCATGATTGCACCACACCTTAGAAGACCCAGTGGATTTTTTGTCGGCAGCTCAATCAGTCCATCAGGATTCAGCAGGTGTTCAGGATGATCTGCGAACATGTTTGAAGGAGTCTGTGTATCTGTCACCTCGTTCATCTCATGTCGACTTTGGATACATTTGACATGCACCAAGATTAGGTTAATGGATGTATTCTCACTGCATCTTGTGTCATGCCTGCTTGAAATACTAAGGTATGAAATATAATTGGTGCATGAGTAGGAATGTGCCGATGGTGCGACAGTTATCATGCTTGCCTTCCATCTCATGTATGGGTCGTTTTATCAAGCGGTAGGGGTTTGACTCCCCTTCTGCGTATTCCATATATCCAATGATTTTTTTTTTTTAAAAAACTACAAAATGAAAATTACTTTAATGTACGCTACTGGAACTTGAACTCCCATGGCTGCTGGCATGAGAGTGTGTATGTCACTGTTTTTTTAGCCACCGCTCCTTGACTCTGGGTTCCTCATGTTCAAGACAGAAAACATGTCCATTTCACGCATAATCTGTTTCATCTGAGTATCCTTGCGTCTTTTCGCAGTCACAGTATATTTTTCCCTTTCTTCTCTGCTATGAACGCTGCACCGTCTGCTAATAATTTCGGCCTTTTCCCTGGGACCTGAGAGTGACTCTATGCACGATTGCACTTGTGTATTTAGACTTGGAGATCCATTTACAACAAAAAGATACATGTATACCTACCCTGATTATTGGGAAGATGAAATGAGCCAGCACTTCCCGACCACACTGGAGAGTATACTTCAAAAATGAGCCGGCGACACTTGTGATATCATGCGATGCCGTGGCCCACTTTAACATGAGGAGCCTTTTATACTAGGTTCTTTAAGCATGTGAGAAAATCTGTCGATACACCTTATTCATTGAAGAAAATTTGTCGATGTCTTTATGACGGTGAATATCTCCTACACCCCCCTTCATACACTCACAATTCACGCTGTAGATCGTTCGCATATTGAATAATCTTACTCGACACACATACCCTTCCCCACAAATAGACAAAAACTTCTTAATTCTCGTTTCTAGTGTCTCACTAGAACAAAGAGGGACTTAGCTCTCTTCCATTTACCATCAGTGATTTCCCTCTGAGGCGAGACCTAGTAACGGCTTGGGACTTAGCACCGAATGATGTGGAAAGTTAAACTGCCATACAGTGGGGAGTATAACGAGTTTTACCGGCGAATGGTGACATCCGGGAACTCGCTGAGTTGCTGACACGTTTCAATGCTAGTTGTTTGGAAAGAGGATACCTATTGTCGGGCTGATAATTCCGACTGTACGTACCAAAGTCGTAGTACTTTAGCTTAGCGGCGAGGTGCTGCCTTTGTATCATGCTCATCTTTTTTTTCCCGTTCAATCCCCCCTAAGGCCGCGGCATTTCCTCATGCCAGGCGCCAACTTTGTCGTATTCACTTTGCAGGAATGAAAGAAATGTGTTGAAGGAGTACTGGAGAATTCAGTTATACTAGTCCTGTTTCTCACTCATACGTTCAAACCAGCAGTTTTGAGTCCATAACGATATAGATCCCTGGAACGGAGGGTTCTTGGGGGTAAATCCTTAGCTAAAACTCCATCCCATTACACTCGCATCATATTCAGCTAACACGTCATGAAAAAGCTTAGACAAGGATTCAAACCACTTGCCTGTACGGGAATACTTACAGTTATGCCTACACGCCGACCAAGAACAAGTACAAGACTAGCGGCTTCAGCATGCCGACGTGTCCTGTAATGACGTATCAGCCCGAAATTAGACGAAAAGGGCAGATCGTGACCGCAGGAGTCGGACCCAACGAGACACCCCGCCGTTTAAAGTCAATCCTGAACACAATCTGCTCTCCGGCTTCCAGTACCAGCGTTGTGTGAGGGGTCGCAAAATTCTCAAGGATGAAGTGGAGGTACTTTACGCATCTTCATCCGCTTGCGGAACAGAAGCTGAATAGCCGCAGACAGAGGGGATGCACAGGATAGTGGGTGAAATTTTCCATGGTAACTAACGTTTTCGTTCAGTATGCGCAGGAGAATGTCGTTGCGCTACTAGGCGGGTTGGGGAGCATCCATACTAATCTCGCGGCATCGACTGGCAGGCATCAGATAAGTTCATAGAGCATGTTATGAGGAGATAACTTACAAGGAGCGACGATGCGGTCGCGCGTAATGATGGGCCCATCCGATCGATGACAAGAACCAGAACCAGCAGTGCAAGCGGTGACAATGGCCCAGGGAAAAGGTTCCGTATCTGTTGCACGCAACGTCAGTCTCCCGCCAACTGGAATCAATGACAGTTAGCGCGAGGGGACAGTTCTCCTGCATATGAGACTTGGGCCTTAACGCGACAGGACCTCCTGCCAATGGGATAATCTGTGCAGAAACATTCATGATTATGTGCGTCCATGCCTGCTCGTTTGTGCGTGAAGTGAAACATATCGCAATCTTTCCACCGACCTATGACTTTGGCAAGCAGACATCCATATGTTTGAACGGATGCCGAGGAAAAGACACTCAGAGTAAAGGCAGAGATTGATCATTGATAAGATCACACGTTCGTATTCGGCATGATTAGTTACACGGGTATATGCTATAACTAGGTATTAACAGGTTGTTACGCTGTGTAGAGGACGGACTTACGATTATAATACAGCGCTTTTTGTCTGTCAGCAACTATCTAACCTCGTACTCGGCAAGAGACGCCACATCGGTGCGTATACAGGTCTAGTTTCAACGGTAACGGTGCAAACGTGTTTGTTCCCGGCTCGATGGCGAGTGTGAACGTTCGGCCCCAATGTTCGAAGCAGAGAAGCCAAGGAATGTGCGTATGTTTGAACATGTCCTGCGCGTCGACAGGGTAGAGTTGAGGCGAGAGAATATAGGGCAAGCGCTGTCCCATTCGCTGCGTGTTGATATCATCGACATGAGGACCGTGCGCTGAAAGAATTGTGAACGAGAGAAGGACCGGGTAAAACGTGACGTACGCAGTTGCAAGCACGGTCACTATAACTGCAGGGACGACTGTCTCGAACGCGGTGTTCTCTGTGTAGCGAGTGATAGGAGCTTTATAGCATCCAATTATGGAGAGCAGAGGGCGGAAACGAGCGAAAGCAGGATGTACACCACAGGAACGTGCCATGAGGCTACCAGGAGGTTGAAAGTGATGGTAAGAGCGGGCTCGTGACGGGCGTGAGCTATCATCTTCATTGACGGAGATGCAACTGGATCAATGTCTGTGGTATTGTTCGGCTTAGCATGAAGAAGCGAGTGAATCGATGTCCATCCGGTATCTGCTGGTGCCATGTTCAGCTTTACGCGGCTGGAGATTGAGGTCGTGGTGTAGGGGTGAAAGGAATAACATGATGGCAGGCACTAGATAGACTGTCAACATAGCGTATTACTTTGTCCAAGGAGGAAGCGTACCATGCTCGTTTTGAGTCTGGCCGAATGTGTCCTCGTCTCTGGTTCCTAGGTAAACCTTGTAGATGCACGGGTAAACGCCCTCCGAATGCTTCAGCTCGAGAAACGCTTCCCTCGTGGTGGTCTGCGCTTCCTTATCGTGGTCTCCATCCAGCGTTTGGCTCAAACGACTCTCGTTTCCGAATGCCAGACGATCACGCCAGGTCCTTTGTTGTGGAATATCGGGGGTCGTTCTTCCGACCGGAAAATCCCGTCTCAAGCCCTCTTCGACGACCACGCTACGCTCGACCGTCGTGGTGAGTGTACGCACTCCTTGGGTGAGTTAGGAGGATTATATGCTAAGAGGAATGTGAGCCAGAGAAAGGCCTGGTAAGATGTAACATACCTAGTTACGAGTACTGTCACTTTAACCCCGGAAGAGTCTGTAACATATCGCTGTCTAGTACAACATCCGCCGTCTGGGATTGTGAGCCTGCGCTATGAGTGTCAAAAGGTTTACTCTCATCGTGCCCTGGCCTCTGCTCTCTCGGAGTTTAGCACTTCCGTGCGCCCGCCACTAACCTCCCTTTGAACGCTACCGCACCCTTTATATCCCCTCGTCCACGCCATGATCCGCGCCTCTTCCTCGACAGTCTAACACCCGGCCGTCACTCGGTAATCAGTATCTTGGAGTGTCGGTAGTCCCTTCGATGGCGTGACACGTCGAAATGCAACCAACAGTATCATTCCATTCATAACTGTAGTCGTGGTTTATCTCCCCAGGGGTAGTCACGGTCCTTGTTACGGGTGCGAGGGTTGGAGCAGAGGATATCAGGAAGGAAGAAAAACTGAGCCAGATCAATAGACGCAAACACGGGCATCGGGCCGATCATTCCCATCGTACATACCATAACCGTAGCACTTTCGTTCAACGGCTTGGTGTTGCACTCGCCCATTCTGGAAAACCTTTTTTCACGTTCGATTCCCACTAAAGCAGCGTCTGAGAATGATGAAATAGCTGTTTTTCCAGAGCCCTCAATTTGAGATGACTATTGATACAAGGACAAGAATTCTTGTACGTTTTGTCTGGTTGGATGGGTTTTGTGTCTTAAGGAATCCCTCATAAAGACACGTTCTCCCAACTGGGGTATAAACAGAACAGAACACGCGCTTCTCTTGATAGGCCGGTGCCTCACCACGCAGCATCACTCAGCGCTACGATTAGTTCCCGAAATCCTAACTCATGAGAACATTCAGGATATAACAACCATTCATCGCTGAGTAATGACCCGAAGACAATAAGACTGCACTCAGGTCAGACTAGTAGCACTATGTCTACCAGATCGTGACTCTGGTCATTATGGGTAGGGAAGACGAGTACGTATCCCAGGGAGAGGTGCGGCATGTCATGAAACAGTCTCCAAATATAAAGGATTCGGCTGGAGAACGTGCCTCGGTAATCTTGCCATTGAAAGACGCCCGTAAACCGAGGTGGTGGGTTTATGACGATGAGCAAAGTATTTATCTCCCAGAGTTCGTCTTATTTCCTGGCCGTCATCTCACTAAAGCTGGTGACAGATAAATTGCGAGAACGGCAAGTCATAGTTGTATGCGCCTTGTGCGGTCCTTTCAAGATCGGAAGTCGAAGATGAAGTGGTTCTGTCCGGACTAATATTATAACAAAGTGTCATTCCAAGTTCGTTGGTACATGTACTAGGAAAGATAGGCTTGGATTACGCCAGTGTGAAGGAGCGCGTACTACCTGCCATTCATCAAATGGTGATAGAGTAATGGCTCACCGGCTGATCAGAAGATCCCTTATTTCACGGACACAAGCGAGATACGGCATAATTGCAGCGAGAAAATGAAAGATGGTGCATCAACTGGAGAGCCAGATGAGTCAGTTATCTATTAGAATCCCGTCCCAGGCAGTGTGGAACTATTGCAGTAAAGAAGATTGCTGACGACGCAGTAGGCCTGGATGCACTGATTGAGATATGGAAGATAAAGGAAGAAAGATACCAGCTTACGGTAACGATGCTGCAATGTTCATCAAATGGATTGAAGGGTGTTCCCTCTTCTTTCGAACAAGCGGGAACATAGGGAGGAGAGCAAGGAAGAGATGAATGCCATTAATTCATCAGCGCGCAGACTCCGAGAATCGACATGTCTCTTACACCGCTTTCCGATGTCGAATAGGCAGAACTATGCGCATTTTCGCCAAGGAACGATGTCTACGTCGTTCATGAGTGGGCACCAAGTTCAGTGAGTACAGGTGTACGGAAAATACAGGCTATATGTGCATAAGGGTTGGCTGGAGTTTGGCGGAATAGTTGAAGCCACCGAAAGGGTTGGCCGTCCTGCAATAAGAGCCTCGTTCTAAGCGCAGACAACCAGACAGTTGCTTTGATTCCGCACGGATCTCATTCCATTTGTATATGGGAATGGGTGAAGTATGACGCGGCTCCATGACTGAAGGATGGATGATGGTGTCGCATATGATGCGCACTCGTTGTCGTGTCTGCGCAGGCTGTAGGCGATGAGAGAGAAGAGGGGTGGAGAACGTCCACAAGCTGACACGGTCCGATTGGTGCCGGAAGAAACAGCACGTGATAGCTGGCCTCATGTCATTCCCTCGGCCACGCTCAGCACAAATCCCCACTTCAAATTACCAGTCTCTCTATGCGCATAGTCCACTGAATGAATGCCCATCCGTATCCATTTTTAAGAGATATTTACTATGAAACAAATAAAAGCAAAGCCCGAAGTTTGCAGATGCGCCGACGGCTTAAAAATTACATCCAACTTTATACTGCCACACATTTGTAGGGGATCAAATCCATCCCAAGTGAAAGACTCAAGGCTTCTCCCATGGTTACGCGCGACTTCAACGGGAGGAACCGTCTTCTATTCACCTCGTTTGTGAGTTCACTCAGCTGAAATCAAGGCTTATTTTAGACGCTTCCCACCCATGTAGCGTAATGATATCCTCCCTGGTTGTGATTCCGCATCGAGGTTCTCCTCACCTAATTGTGGGCTAGATATCAATTCCTTCCACTGAGAGCGCCGGACATGGATGGTGATCGAACTCGAACAAAAAAAGCTCCCTGATGGATAGGAATGCATCACAAGACTACAGTTCAGACATGTGTGATCATTACATTACGGGCGGTTTACAAAGAAACGTTGTGAGTCGTCCTTTTTGTATAGATTGTTCGAGTTCCAGGTGATAGGCTTCATTGTCGTCTGATTGTATCCTTGTCGGTGCATCAGTGTAACAATAGAGTCTTGCGTGAGACAAACATGATCCTACCAAGGACAGAACAGGGTGAGTAGTTAGAAAACCTTGGACTTGTTCATTATCATGGGATGCGTCATCCTACTTCTATCACCGAATCCATGAGAGCTTCTAGAGACATTGATTCCTGATGTCAGGAGATGTACTTATGGTTGGAAATGAGCTCATAGTCTATCGATTTAAGTACAGTCCTTGGCCTTTCCTCCTGACTAAACTTTCAGGGATCACTGCACTAAAGATATTTCACACTCCTCTTTTCTGTGGCAACCGAGCATGATTGCACTGCACCTTAGAAGACCCGGGGTATTGTTTCTCGGCCAGTTAATCAAGGTACTCGCTGCTCAGGATGATCTGTGAACACTTTTGAAGGAGTCTGTGTTATCTGTCACCTTGTTCATCTCATGTCGACTTTCGATACATTTAACATGCACCAAGATTAGGTTGACGGATGTATTCCTTGCTGCATGTCGTGAAATACAAGGTACGGAATATAATCAGTGCATGAGTAGGATGAACGATCACTTGGTCCCTCATCACCAAAGAAGGCAACACCGATGGTAAAACAGTTATCATGCTTGCCTTCCATGTAGTTGGGTGATCCTTTTAGCAAGCGGTAGGGGTTTGACTCCCCTCCGGCATATATCTTGAACATCTTGGGCTTTAATGTTTTTTTTTGTTTTCCACACTACAAAGTGAAAACGCCAAAGTTACCATCCTGGAGGTTTTGTGCACAGCCCTATAAGTCAGTTTTTTCGTTTTCCACCATTCCTCATGTTCAAGGCAGCAGACATGTTTACTTGTTGCAAAATATTTTTGGCATGAGTATCATGGCTATCAGAATGTTCTTTTCACAGTGATATTATATACTTCTCTTTCCTCTCTGCCATGAATCCTACACTGTCCACTCAAAATTTCTGTTTTCCCTGAGAGTGGCTCACAATTCACAGCATAGATTGCTCGAAAATTGAATACTCTTGCTTGACATGCATATTCTTCCCCACGGACAGGCAAAAACTTCTTAATTCTCATCTCTGTAAATTTCTAGTGGCTCACTAGAACAAAGAAGCACTTGGCTCTCTTCTGGTTATCATCAGACATTATACCTAGTAACCAGCAGGTGAGGGCCAGCTCATATGGGTGGCAATTCCGAGTCCTATTTTGTGTCACACATACAGGCAAAAGATATGAAAAATATCTAAGCTATACTTGGCAAAAGAGTACAGGACATTCATAATTAAGATTCCGTATTATCTACTCGGACATGTTGAATGACAATCCTGTTGATTCAGTAACTTGTGCAAAGTCAGAAACTATGATAGAAACGGTGGCAATATGATCTATATCACTGGTACTGGAGCCAAGAGCTTGAATGAAACAGAAGATGTCAGATTAATGATTCTGAAAAATCCATGTAAAGCATCACCCACCATCACACTAATATCACAGGACATTATGACCATGACAGTGCAAACAAAGAGGTACTGACCTTAGCAAAAACAGCAGGGATTCCTACAACATCAGATGGCATATTAGCCAGAACAATGATACTAGCCAAACACGACATACATACCTGCCATCCTCTGGCCTGCCACCTATTACCTGATGACTTTATTCTTGAATATGTTGAGACGTCATTATATCTTGCTACATGAGAAATACAGAGTTTTAGGTCAAAGAAGGGTAAACCTGGGAAGGAATACATACCTAGAGTATGGCAGCATTGATACAATTGAAATCGGAGGTCTTCTGTCACCATTGAACAAGCTAAGAGGAACACTCACTGATCAGCACTGATTGTAACCAGGTAACAGAACAAACCCTTACTCAAGAGATGTATAGCGGCTTTACTTGAAATTCTACCGAGGTAGCCTCAAATTTGTACAAGTGTGTGCCCACAATTCAGCCTGTCTTAACATCACACAAAGGGGAGACACCACAGTGAAGACTGTGAATGAGATAGAAAGCTCAGGTAAATATCAGTGATTGAGGTGGGATCCCAGGACTGGAGGGATATACAGTGCCAGTCATAGTCATGCGAAGAGTATTAGTTTCTCCCATGGCAAGTTGACACCTGACAATGATAGGTCAGGACCAATGTCCTAGTTGCAAAGTTCTCATACTAGGGCTACATCTGTGTGGCATAAAGTGCTTAGAGTTAGTATCAGCAGGGGCTATCAAATATATGTGTTGGAAATGCTTACCATGTATACAGACAATCATTCCATCGGGATTTGGGAACCACATGAAGTACCATCACTTCAATGACCTTCTTTACATGCTCTCCGAGGCAGTAATTAATGAGTGGGTACTGTATGCAGTGCTGAGGAGCATGACTGTCAGATTATGCTATATATAGGGCAATCATGTGTCTGTGTCCTGTTAATGTGAGCTGAAGTTTAGGAGCAGGAGAACTAAAAGGAATTCACCATTCATCCAGAAAAATCAAAGCAGAAGAATTGAGCCCTCTTTGACTGAACGATGCTGGTGTACATGTCTAAGAAGTGGCAAGCTTGTTTGAATGTGCTGTGACTTAGACCTCTCTGAAGGAAGTCCTGTCAGTCCATAGAGAAAGCCTAACAGTTGTGCCTCAGACATATGTCATTCCAAATAGATCAGTACCTGAGTATCCCTGGGACACAATGGCTTACAGATTTAGAA